TTTGGAAAATAAAAAAAAAACAGGGCACCGTAGTCCTGGTATGTCGTGCCATAGAAAGGAATGATGAGAAATCCTAGACTAGTGTAGGCATAGGAAAAATGATTTTTGAAAAAGAAAAATAAGACATTGCTGTCCTAGTTTGTCATGTCATGGAAAGACATAATGATATCATGAAAAGGCACGAGGGTGCCTAATGAGAAGGTATTAAAAAAATTGTGTTTAAAAAAAGAACAGGACGTCGAAATCCTAATTTGTCGTGTCATGAAAATGCATGATGATGCTATGAGAGGGCATAAAAAAAGAAATGTGTTTTTGAAAAAAAAAAAAGAAAAAGAAAAAAAGAGGCCCACAGTCCTAGAGTGTTATGTCATGAGAAGGCATAAAAAAAATGGGAGAAAAATGTTTCAAAAAATAAAAATAAAAAGAAAACTATTTGGTGCAATTTTTGTTTGTAGAAAAGACATCAAGAAATATGGCAATTGTTACTCAAAAAAGCAAGTTGAATGAATTTTGTCAAAAACAAAAAAAATTAAAAAACCAATTTACAAAATTTTCAAGGAGGGACCCGACTATAGCCCTATTTTTATCTGTGAAGTTGAAGTCGCAAAAAAAGAATTTTCAAGATCCTATATGGATACGAAAAAAGAAGCGAAGAAATAATTGAAATTAAAAATGAGGAAGAAGAGAATATGGCTTATCCTACTGATTATTTGTCCAAAAAAAATCTTATTCTAAAGGTCGCTTAAGTTGCCATTGCCTGAAATATTTACCTCACTGTCCTGAATGCATTTCTGCAAAACTTTCCATATAATACAAATGACCGATTTTTTTGTAAATTGTTAGGCATTCACAGTTTCTCATGTCATTTCTTGGTCACATCATAAAAAACCTAAAATATTTGATTAAGGTTTTGTATTTCCTAGATTTTAGGAAAACAAGTCTATCCATAGATATGTTGACCCGACACTTGTCTCATAATCTTTGTGCTTATTTGTTTGGGAAAGGTTAGTCACTGTATTGCTTTTGCGTTTGAGGCGTGGAAGTGATAGTGCAAATAAGTTCCCTCTTCCCGTTCGGGCCTAAAATAGGAAAGGTTTTGCTTTGGTGGGAAACCACTGAAGCAAAACATTTAAAATGTTTTTATCGGGGTATAAAGCCCCAAATTAAGTTTCAAGTCTGCTTAAAATTAAAAAGTGTTAAAATGTTAGCAAATTGAGCTAAAAAATTTAATTAAGATTTGTGTTTTAAAATGGATTATCTGCTAGTTAAATCAATGTTCATATGTTAGGGTAATGTCAAGGTATTTTGCAGGAAACTGTTGACTTGGCATTCTAACCAATTGGCCCACTGACTTTCAGGATAATTAACACTCATTAGTGCAGTCTTGTGCATATTAACTCTTGTCCTTGACACCACCTCGTAGCACTTAAGGTATAACTAAAGAGATTGAATTTGCGACATACCTCCCTCAGCTATAATAAATGTATCATCTGCATATTGCAGATGGGCAGACCGGTAAGACTCTAATCATATAGCCCTCCACAGCCCCAACAATCATAAGGCTAAAGGATTCCGCCACAAGAGTATAAAAAAAGGGCAAAAGAGGATCCCATTGGTGTAAACTCCTCGATGCCTTAAAGTAACCCCACCCTTTAGCATTAATAAGAACAGAAAGGTGAGCCGATGATAGACATCCATTAATTCAACTCCACTTTGAAAAAAACCACCATAAGCGCTCCATGACCTTATCCAAATAATCCCATTTCACTATATCATAAACCATTTCAAAATCAATCTTAAGAAAAAATTCTTTTCCTTCCTTGGCTACGGATGGAATGAATAATGTCTTATGCCACCAAAATTCAATCCACAATTTGTTTGCCTTTGATGAACGTAGATTGAGGGCCCTAAATAATCTTCGGCATTATCCTCTTGAGTTTATTAGCTAAAACCAATTTTGTCAGATTCATTTCAGAGCCTTCTTCAATTTGGTGAGAAAAACTTCAGCAGATTCAGTTGAAAACTTAGGACTTTTTTTTTTTTTAATTTAATATAAATAAATTAGATATTTATATATATTTCAAATAATGGAAAAAAAAAATTAAATAGCTATTTTTTTGTTGGCCGAAGCAGGCATGCAGAAAGACCCGAATCATATCTAAAGCAAACCCGAAGTGGCCCGAATTTGACCAAAACACCCCGAATTTGACTGAAGCGGTAGCATTCGGCTTTGCTTCTCTTTTATTTATGCCCAAAATCTGAAGACTTCTTTCTCTTCGGTTGAAGCAAAGCGAATTTGATGACATTGACTAAAACCTTTGCGAGGATGTTGCATGAAGAGGACAGCAACGTTATGGGTCAACTATCCTAAAGGGTTTCCATGTGCTGCTTTTTGGGGACAGGTGTAATGAAAGTGGTATTTAAAGCTTTGGGAACTCTCCGTTCCTCATAAAACTGCTGGAAAAAGCGACTCAAATTCCTTTTCAATATATCTCAAAACTCTAGAAAAAAGCTAAGAAAAAACCATACGAGCCTGACACCTTAGACTAAAACCAACTTCTTCAATTTCAGCAAATGAGAAAGGTTACTCTACATCCTGTGCACCAAGAGACGAAAGCTTATTAAAAGGAAAATGATTGATAGAGCAGACAAGTCTTGGCTATGTAAAAACGAGACATTTGCATTTTGGGGTATCTCCTTGGATTGAGGAGATATGGTTAGACCTTGGGTAAGAATTAGCGATGGCATGAAAATGTTCGGTATTCTTTAATCTACTTAGATCTAGATGGTTGAAACCAATAAACTTCCTCCCCTTCCCCTTTAAGAAGATCCCCTAAAACAAGTTTCAAATGTTCCCTTTGATTCATATTAAGGCCCCTCCCCTCCCCTCCCCTCCGAATTTGTTCCAAGCACCTCCAAAAAATTCTACTCCTTAGGTACCCAATTCTTTCTCTAGCTTTTGTATTGTTCCCTCAATTACTTTTGTAATGTTTTATTATTAACAAATTCAATCATCTTTTTTACAAGAACAAATTCAATCGTCTTTGTCCCTTAGCCAAGCCAAGCTGTACGTGTGAATATAGATAAGATTCTAACTCAGCACGTACTTACACAATCTTAATATTACGGAGAAAATCAGACGAAATGAAATTTCGCCCGCCCCGCCCCGCCCCGCCCCACATGCAGATGGCTGGCTGGTCCCGTCCCCCAAGGTTTAGTGGTCCACCAGGAGATTTGGAAACATAAACGAAATTTCGGCGGAGATATTCGCAATTCACACCTGGCTGACTGACTCCCTCCATTTTGAGGTTTGGAAGGACGAGGCGACGGGTCAAATTGTTCATCAGGGTAGAAGAAGCTCTCATTCTTCCACCACGAAATTCATATTTTCAGACTTTTAGCTGCTGCTCCTCATTGATGTGAGGAAAAACAGCACCATGTTTGTACGGAGAGGGTAGTTTGTGTTTTGCTTGTTCACTTGGGTAAATGATAAAAGTTTTCGAAATTCTTGTTGTGGATTTTGCAGGTGTGCTAGGCAGATGGAATGTTCATGGGGATTGGATTTTTCATTACTGTGAGAGAGATTAGTTATAGCTTGACTGATGAACAGAGGTTTAGAGAGAGATTAGTTATTGCTTCACTAATGAATCACTATTTAAGCAGATGACAAAGGGAAAGAGAGGATAGCCCTGGGTTGACATGGTTTTAGCACGGCCATTGGCACTCATGCTTCTTCTTGCGTATGTTTGGAGTCTTCGGACCGATTGCTTGTGAAAAAACAGCTTTGCAAACTCGGCCTGTCCAACTCGAAACTGGCTGCCTGCCTGCTTAAATCCGAATTGGGAGTAGCTCATCCAGTTTTGATAGTCCGGTTAGCTATTTTTTGTTTGTAATATATTTTTTTAATCTTTTGAATGATTAAATAAGAGAATTGTTTGTAATGTAGTTCTTGAATTTTTTTTATAATTTCAGCAAAGATTACATGGGGTTTTGGCCATTAATGCTCATTTGGATTTGATTTGTTTAATCATGCTTCAAATAATTTTTTCATACTTTTAGGACAGATTATTGGTTAGGTCGGCTGGTTTCCGAGGCCAATTCAATTTTGAATACCAGTAAAAAATGTTTTTTCCAGAAGAAATCCATAAGAATGGGTACAATGTTCGACATAACTATATAAATGGTGCGATCAAAAGGGTCATCATAAAAAATGATGGGAGTAATCAAGGTGGTGGGACCTCTTCTATTTCCTATCACAAATAGAGCCATCATACAATCCAATCTATGCACTGGAGTGGATAGCAACGTGAGAAGCTAGAAGCACGAGTGTCGTCACATTTTTCACTCTCCCAACTCCAATTGGATTAGGATTATATGAGAAGGAAGTAAACGGTGGTGAATTGATAACGATCTTCATACTAGTAATCCACCGGTTATGGAAACATAGATATCCTAATGAAACTAAAAAGAACATTAATAAAAGAACGACTGGAAATATAAATTCTCCAACCTTCAGCAAAAGAGATGAGAGCAGAGCAAAAAGGTCAGATTGAGTGATAGAGAGAGTTGCAGATAGAGCGAGGGAGAGAGAGTTGTGTTATTGAGGTCATTATGAGACAATTGTAGTGATGGCCATTGCACATATTGCATCACATAAAAACTACTGTACTTGGTAAATGTTCACAAAAAGTAGGGCTAACCGTGCAAACCCAACCCATTAAATTAAAGAATTGAGATTGTTTGCCAAAAGACTATTTATCGTTGTTTGTTGTTATATGAGGTCATAATTATTTTTCGTTATTAAATGTCAAATTGGATGATTGTTGAGAATTTTTTTTTTTGTTTTTTTAATTCTTTATACCAAAAGTACAATGGTAGCGATTTGAGCTAATCATGTATTTAGTAAACAAAATGATTCGCGGCCTCGACTAAAGGGGCTCATATTTGTATAATGTGCATCAAGATAATAGGGAGAAAATGTAAAATTATTCACTGTAAAATACGCCCACAAAGAAGTTGTACTTCATATTTATACATGATGAAATTTAATACAAAAAATATGCCGGTCTGAAAAATTTACACAAGCCTAATAATCTGTCATCCTAATATGTTTCACGCGATGTACACATACGAGCCGCCGATTCAACGGTTGTGATCTCTCCTAGGCCACAAACAAGCTCGCTCAATATAGGCCTCCGACAAGCAATCCCAGATCAGCCGTCGATATGCCCCGTCAAGCCCGCCATCTCAATCTGGAGGGTCAGATATCCTCCGCAACAATACCCTCATGAATAGTGCTTAACCGTAACCTGAATTTTCGATATGCCAATTTGGCCCTCTTCGAAGCATTTCTCTGCAATTTTCTGACAGAACCGGACCTTGAAAGACCCGGTTTTACGGTCTTAGCCTCACCGGAGAATCCCAATTTCCGGTCACCAGAAAATCCAGAATTACCATGGAAATCGACCTCTGCAAAAAATGGGGCCACTTTTTTCCGGCGACCCCTCTTTCTCGAGCCCTCGCTCAAGGCAGTACTCGCCTTCACAGCCAAAGCCGCCATTTCTGAAGGTTCTAAAGGGTAATGAAGCTTGGTTAACGGCAATAGGAAATAGATCTGACCCAACTGTAATTCTTCGCTTGCTTTTAAAGGAGGGATGCAATCGTTGATGTACATTTGATCAGCGTGGCAAATGAAGCTCGATGGAAACGACTGCAAAACTTGATCTACAGTGACTGGAACGTTGAATTCATGGAGGCCTCCACTTGTCAAGACGAGCTTGGCGGTATGAAGGGGTACCTGAGTGGTCGATAAGCAGGAGCCCATAGGGTTTCAAAGTCTCTGCAAAATTGTGATGGATCGCTCTCTGTCTAAGTAGAAGCGCTAAAGATAATGATGAAATCTCTCTCTCCTCTCCTCTCCTCTCCTCTCCCTTGTGCCGATGCTTTCTCCGTTTGCTCCTTGGGTGAGTGAATGGGGAGTGCACCCCAATCTTCCTCTCTTCCTTGGAGAAAACAAGAATCTCTATCTCACTCTCTGCAAATGCCGCCCAGAAATCTCTCTCTCTCTCTTGATCTCTATGATTTGAGATGGTTAAGCGTGCTTATAAAGGGCGTTGGGGTTTTGGGGCGTCACATGGGGCGTCATAATAATAGTGTCCAAAGTTGAGGTTTTCGTGGTGATTTCAGTGGTGACGCGGATTACGATCTTTATTATCCCTTTGACTATATTGCACTTGAGAGGGACAATGCGAGTGAAGAGAGAGAAAGTATCAGAACGAAAGGAGAGAGAGTGACTAAATAGGAGAAATATTGTGCCACAATAAGAGAGAGAGTGACAAAAAAGAAAGAGACAGAGGAGAGAGAAAGTAACAGAAGAGGTAGTTGTGCTTGCGGGCGAAGCAACGTGTAGGCGCCGCGCGTTGCTTATCAATTCAATGGGTTTGAGCCGAGCCGAGACGAGACGTGGACTTCGTACGGTGTACGACAAGTCTAGAAGGCGACCTCGCAGCGCGTGCGTGGTTTCGTGTTTTGGCGAGTATCGTGGTTTCCTACTTTCCGAAATTCGTAAACAGTGCATTATAGTTGCATAGCTTTGCAGCAATTTGTAAAAGGTCAAGAATGTTTTCAAGTTGAAAAACGTCTCCATTCATACTGTTCACTTTGAGATGCTCCGTTATATAGGGCAAAAAAAAAAAAAAAAAAAAATTACCCAAGTCTTATAAATAGTGCAGCTTGTAATTATGGAGACTTATTTTTTAAAAAAATTTATCTAGACCATTTATTTTTAACATGTTCAAGTATTTTATAGATTTGCCGTTCTATTGAACATGAATTTTCAATTCATCATGAGATTTCACACACTGGAACTGCATCTTTCGGCAAAATTTAGAGATATGTGTTATTTGAATAGTATAAATTGGGCACCTTATATAAATTTCATCCTTTTTAATTTCGGCATTTATAGCCGGGGTTTTTAGGAGTCTGCCGGCTCATTTAATCCTAACTCTATAATCCATGTTAGAGATGGGTTTGATATTAAAATTTGCATTGATCCATAATCTAAACTATGGTGATTATGAATATTCAAAAATAAATTTTATAACTTAAAAATAAGCTTTTTTTTAATTTTATTACACCATTTGTTTCAAATTCTGGTTATCTCCCCTTTCTTTAATGTCCATATTTAAGATGGACGTTTAGTGCTTAGGGAAGGCATGCATCTACTGACTCATGCAATGGTTTAAAAAACGGATCGATGATCCGGATCGATGACCCGGATCGGGCACCCAAGAAACCGATCCGGATCTACGAATCGGTGATCCGGATCGGGAATCGGGTGAATCGGTCAGAATAAAGCTTCAAAAAAATCCAAAAAAATTATTAAAATTCATTATAAATATTGTTTTTTAAGAATTCAATAAGAAATGAGGGTACTCCATTAAGAATTTTCATGTTTTTGAATGAATATGCGAATATTGATATGTTCTTTCCCTGCATGAACCGCCATTCAACATTTAATTTACATCACACAAAAGGATAAACATAGAATTATCATGGAATAAGTATATCAAC